GGAACGAAAGAACTAAAAAGTGGATTAGTCTACTGTGCCATGAGTTCAAGATGCCCTAGGTTGTTAGGCAGCTAGTTGTTTTTATTATTGGAAAAAGGAGAAAGAAATAGAAACACATTGTTTTCAGGTTTGTGAAATGCCTCACAAATATCTCGTTTGAATCTTAACACAATCCTGTAAAGTAAGTCCTATTAATATTACTATTACTATTAATATTACAGATAAAGAAACTGAGGCAGACAGAAGTGATTTATCCAGGGTCACATAGTGAGTGTCTGAGGCAGGATTCAAACACATCTACATGGCTCCAGCACAAGGGAGAAGATAGCCTTTAACTGCCCAGCAGGATTCTACCATTTTGAAAGTAGGCCCTAAAGAAATCTCAAGGGAACTGGTCATGTTTACATTGGCATATCTGAATCAATCTGTCCATCAGCAATCCTTGTTAAGCAGCTGCTCCGGACCAGGCTCTATGCCAAGTTCTCTGCCAGGCCCTCTGTGAGGTGCTGGAGGTGCAAGGCAAAAAAAATGGGAGTCTTTGCTCTCAAGGAGCTCCCGTGTTATCAGAATGACTTCATCCTGTCCGAAACATGAAAAAAGCGTGAGGTTGGTTGGAAAATGTTGGTTTGCAGTGTCAGTGGGTAAGTACAAGTTTTTAAGAGCCTCTGTCTAGTACCTGGGTGGCAGTGTGTCAACGAGTAAATGCAGACCCTGAGTAGAGGCACATGTCAGCAAACTGTGTTCAAGGAATCGTCACCAACTAAAGACTTTCCTGGAACCTAGTGGTTATCACGAATTTATTATTATGCTTTCGCTGCTAAGATTCTCAATAATCTCACTCATGGCTCTATGTTTGGGAAGAACTGAATGTAGGAGGGGCAAGAAGGGTCAATTTGGACACGACCCACAGACACAATTTAGAATGAGAAGTGTGAATAAGTTTTCAAGGACTTGGTAAAATGCCTCACCCAAAGGCCAATGTTGCCTTATGCAGACCTAGACAAGATGTTTGCATGGCATGCCCACACCAGCCTGGCATGGGGCCAGCTTTGTGCCAAGAGAATCATGGTCACTAGAACTCTATGACAGTGAGGCCCATTGGATTGGAGTTCTTGGTGTTGAAGGGGGATGTCTATCATTAAAAAGTCCTTTGAGTAAGTGAATACAGCAAGTATTCTCCACAGTCTATGAGCACGGAATTGGACACTGTCTGCCTAGGGTGGGTGAAGGCACCAGGCAGTTAGGAGTTCGAAGACCAGTGAGGAAACGTGCCCTGTTCAGTAGACGATGTAAGTCTGAAAAATGGTGACGCTCATAGAAGAGGTGAAGGTTACCTGTGACACACAAAGAGCCAGGCCTCTATCACCTAAAGTACCGCTGACCACCTGGCGCTCCCATTGGAAAGTGTGTCATCAGTGATGGTTGTCTCTGGATGACCAGTAATGCATCCATCACCTACGGCCTAGTCATTGCTTGAGCTCAGAAAAGCTCTGATAGGTACAAAAATGGTATGACGCTCAAATACATGGTCAAGACCTTTGGCAAGGGCAGAGAATTCTGCCAAGATACTTTGATGTGCAGTGAGCATGTGAGATAACGGATTGATGGGAAGCCATCTTACGCCAAAGATTGGGCCACTTGCCAGGTTATAAAGTAGTCCCAGAGAGGGGATGGGGCCCTACAAAACAAAACAATGCATTGCAAACTCCTATTGCCTATTGGGGAGGTAGTGAGAGTCCCTGGCGAGCAGAAGGAAAAGAGAATTGGATGGTTGGTGGAATGAATTCTGGGAAGAGCTGCCTTCTTACAATTTGCAGAGGCCATTAGTGGCAGATAATAATAGCTCAGGAGATAATGATTCAGATGAGGAAGAACCTGAGTGTCCTGCATATTGGAAGGCAGTGAGATAAAGTGGAAAGAGCCCTAGCTCAGATGTCAGAGGACCTGGGTTCAAATCCTCATCTTTGATGCTCATTATCTGTGTGACCTTGGATGTGTGACTCAACTTCTCTGGGCCTCATTTTCCTCATCTGTAAAATAGAGGGGTATAGTAGGCATCTGAAGTCCCTTCCAACCCTAGATCTATGAGCCTTTGATATCCACTGGATGGTCAAAGAACTCAGTCTAGTCTATCCCAGACCCAGAAGACTTCTGTTCAGACAATGGGGAGGGATGAATCCAAACACAGCCCGTTTCTAATCTAATAATCCAGTTGTGGATGCCCTGAGGGAATGCAGGGATTTTATAGAGCCTGGAGAGTATAAAATTCAGGCTGAGCCTTCCACAAACCCGGGGGTAGGACGCCAGGTTAGTGGTCCATGGATACTGAACTGTCAGCCTGGGTCTTCCAGAAGCTTAGAGAAGTGAATATTGAAAACCAAAAACAAATAAATAAAGTTTTTAAAAAATGAGGGCATGGGTCAAGAATGGCAAACACTGCAGACAGGTCAGGAAAAAGAACGTCAGCAGAAAACCCCACTAGTTTGGTAATCAGGAGGTCACTGGTGACCCCGCCCCCACCTGTCTTTGGTCAGATGCACAGAAGTGCCTGAAATAAGAAAGGTGGAGGAATAGGTGTGGGAGGCAAGTGAGCTCTCAGGTGCAGGCTGTGTGGTTCTGGGGAATCACCCACAGTGCCAAAGCCCGCGAGGGGCTCTAGGAAGTGATGCCGTTACCTCTGTTTCCAGCTCCCCCCCGTCCTCATTCACCTCTCATCACTCCTTTTTTCCCATCCTTATCATTTTCTTATCATCCTCTAAACACGGATACTTCCCCGAGGACCATGGCCTTATTCCTTGCCCCAGCAATTGACCACCATGTTTTTATAAACATCAGCTGGCCAATTTTAGTCTTCACCCATCTAGACTGCAGGAGCTCCAGGATCTCAGGCTGTCCTCAGATGAAGGCTGCCTCATTCCATTCCTTAGAGAACAAGAGGGGTTCTTCTTAGGCCTGTTCCCCAGCTCTATTCAGCCTCCCTGGGGTCTCTGTCATTTTAGGGATTGAACCTTTATACACTCCACACCAGAAGCAATATTAGACAGTCATATTAGAGGAAATGGTTTGGGGGTCAGACACAGTCTCCTTCCAACCTTCTCACCTGGAGCTTGGTCACCATTTCTTCAAATAGCTTCCGAGCTTCCGGGCTCCCAGGTTCTTTGAAGTAATCCACAATCCCAATCTGTACCACAATGGACTTGAGGTTCCGGCAAACACCTAAGAAGGAGCAGGGGGAGAACAGATGAAACAGACCTTGGCTGGGCACATGACTCAGAACTTGGGGAATGGAGGAGGAAGCCACATATCTTGTCAAGCCTCTCAGACACCAGGGGCCAGCCTATACCATTACACAAATACCCAAAACTCAGATGCCAAAGGAAGGGTTGGGGATTTTTACCTGGATTTGCAGAGAACTAGCAAATTATGCATTCATTCATCTTTTCCTCTATTCATTAATCTATCCAACCATCCATTCATTAATTCATCCATCTTTTCATTCATTAATCCATCTATCACTCTGGTCATTCATTAATCAACCCTGCCATCCTTCTACTCATTAACACAATCACCCATCTCTTCTTCAGTTCATGGATCCATCCACTCATCTCTTTCCATTCATTCATGAATCTACCCCCCTATCCTTACTTCCACTCACTAATCCATCCATCCATCTCTGCAGTCATTAATCCACCCATCCCTCCATTCATTAATCACTCTATCCCTCTACTCATTAATCCAACCATCCATCCATCCCTCTACTCATTAACCCGTCTATTCACCTATCACTTACAAAGCACCCTCCATGTGCAAAGTGCTGAGATGTGGAGATAACTAAGACAGAACCCCAGTGTTGAAAGTCACTAAGAACCTAATTTCCCACCAGTCCTAATCCCCACTGGTTTCTTCCCAGAGTCTCCCCAGCCTCATCCCTCACTCCAGCGATTGGCTTTGTTGGCATGTGATTGACACATGAGTCCCAATAGGACAAGACTAAGTATAGAGGGGCATGCTGACTGTGAGGAGTGGCCCTGGATCCCCCGTTGACTCACTGTTGAAATGCAGCAGGGCCTTTGGGGTAACCGGGGTGGCTGTGAGCACCAGCATCTCCAGGCCCTTCAGCCCCTCTCTGCAGACCTCAGCCGCCACCTCCTGGGTGATCTCTGCCACGTGGTCCAGCTCTAGAACCTGAAGTCTCATGCAATTCCGGGCTGGAGGTGGGTAGAGGGAAACCAAGGAGACATCAGGGTTGAGCAGCAACTTCCTAGATCTGGCCAGGTTGGCTTTTCACTTGATCCATGGCCCTCCCTTCCTTGGCTAAGCCAATCTCCAGCCTCTCAGTAAGAGGACTCCCCTCATCCTGCCCCGCTTCTGCTAAATGGAATAGATTCCGCCTGGGAAGTGAACCACTAAAAACTCTCCAGGATTTTTCTCAGCCTATTCAATCTTGCTAAGTCGTGCCCTCAGTCTTCATGCCTCATCCCCTTCCACTCTTAAGGGTAGACCCTGGGTCACTCCCTGCTCAGTTCTGAGACCTGCTGTTGGTCCCCACCAGACCCCCCCCCCCCAAGATGTGGCCACACTGCCTCATGCTAGAGGCGTGGATATAACTCAGGGGTAGGAACTCCCAGGTAAGGCTGCCCAGAGAGCAAGGACATGCACTCTCCCCTTGGTGGGGGACTTACCAAGTGATGCCAGGCCCTGCACGCCGCAGCCTGCACCTCCTACACCCAGGGCCCTCAGGTGGGGCCAGCATCGTCCTATCATCTGCAGACACCGGTTACTGAAGCGTGTGGGCTGCTGGCTAGAAGACAGGGTGGGGGGAGCAAAAGTGGGGAGCGAGAAGAGAGGTCAGAAGGACCACTGGAAGTACCCAATGTCCTCAACTCAACTTCCTAAATGGTCTCTTTGCATCTGGCAGCTTCTCCTATGCCTCCGCTTCCAGGAAGGCTTCCTAGAACTATCTGTTCCACTGTGCCTCCCCATGAAGCTCCAATGGCTGCATCTCCTTCAATCTCTGTCCCAAAATTCATCACCTGTCCTGCACAATACAACCCTGAATCCACTTGTCTTTGTCTCTATTAACTTCTTAGTACGCCACAGATTTAAGGGATTTGGAGGCCTGGAACCTTAATAGGACCTGTCAGCTGTGGGATGTGGAGGCCAGAAAACCTAACAGAATTATGAACTGCATAGAGAAGGGGCAGAGCTTCCACAGATTGGGAGGCAATGGTCCCCCTGTGCTCTGCCTGGGCAGACCCCTGTGCAGCAGTCAGTTCTGGGCACTGAAGTTTGAGGCTGACACTGATAGGGTAGAGTGTCCTCCTTGGGGAGGACAACCAGGATGGTGAAAGTCTTTCTTTACTCCTGCACACAACCTCACCTTGCCCCACTCTCTCCTTTTCTAGACTGTGGGCACCATGAAGGCAGGACTTTCTCCCCTTCCTCTTCGGCTGCCCTGCCCCTGCCTAGAGCCCTGCCATACTGACTGGTGAGGGTCACAGTCACCTCCGACACCCAGGCAGGCTCCAACCACGCTTCACTTTACTCCCTGGACATCTTCTCACTTGGGGGACTTTGCTCCCTGTCTGTACCACCCCCTCCCTTACCACTATCCATTTCTGAAATTATAGTCTAATCACTACCAGCACTGGAAAGGGTAAATCAATCCATTCTCTATGGTTCTACTCACTATCCCTGAAACACCCAAACCAAACTATCCCTTTCTGATTGCCACTCCCCTGTTGATGTTGTCTCCCCCATTAGAATGTGTCTAACTCCATTAAAGAGTTATATGAAACAAAGTATCAATGACATTTATTGATATCTTAGATTTTCTATTACCTACATTTCCCAGTATAGCCCTTCACCCTCTCCCTTCCCAGAGAACCATCTCTTGTTACAGTGCTTAGCACAGTGCCTGGCACACATAGGAGCTTAATAAATGTTGATTGATTGATTAGAATGAAAGAAGAGGGGGAGGGAAACAGTTGGCGAAACTAACCAATGCATCAAAAAAGATTGATGTATCTAGCATTCCACATCCGCAGTCCCCCACCTCTGCAGAGAAGCCAGGAGAGGTGCCTTCTCATGTCTCTTCTTTGGTGCCAAGCTTGGCCATTATATTTTAGCATACTCCATACTAAATGCCATCTACTATGTTAAACCATGCTGTATTGTTTCAATTTTTTTCATGGTTGTGCTTTCCAACAATAACTTTGTTTTTCAACTGAGGGGAGGGAGTAATGCTTTGTCATTTATAAAGCATTTTACCTACGTGACTGTTTAGTCCTCATAGCTACCCTGTTAAGGTGATAGTGTTGAATGATACTGTGCCCATTTTATAGATAATGAAACTAAGGCTCAGAGATGTGATATGGCTTATGAGATGACAGGATTGAGAGCTGGGAGGGATCTTAGGGATCATTTTGTCCAAACCTCTCCTTTTACAGGTGAGGAAACTGATGCCCAGAGAGAGGACTGTTGTGTAGCCGAAGCAGGCAATGTGCAGAGCAAAGACTCAGATGTTAATGTTCTGTGCTGAAGCTTCCCACTTTCTCCCCTATTTCTGAGGACCTTGCCTTGGGGGTTTCTGCATCAGGTGCCCAACCCCCCAGCAGCCCCTGGCCCCACTCACCAGGGGTGAAGAGGGGCCACCTGGAGAGAGATGATCTCCCTACAGCCAGCCCCCAGGGCCCAAATGACTTCATGGCCTACAGGATCTGTTGCACTCCTGTTGGGAAGAGAAATAGAGTGAGGGCCCACTTCTGGCCACTCCCGGGTGCTCCTGGGAGCTCCACGGCCAAGGCTGCCTTCACCCCACACTTCTACCTGCCTCCTCCTTGGAAGCTGCACAGTGCATGGAGGTTTTGTCTTTTAAAAATGTCACTCCATCTTTTGTTTTTCTATCACCTTCATTTCATCCCCTTGTAATACAGAATAGAAAAATTTTAAAAAGTAATTCAGCAAAACCATCAGATGGCTGCTGAGTCTGACAGTATAAATGCAGTGCTCCACATCCACAGTCCCCCACCTCTGCCAAGAAGGGAGGCAGGTAAGGGGTGTGGGTATTAAAATTTTCAAAGGCTTTCCTTATCACAAGCCTATGAAGAAGAAAGCTGGACAAGTATTATCATCTTCATTTCATAGACACAGGAACTGAGGCCCAGAGGGGTTAAGCTACCTCCTCAGGGTCACAGCTGGTAAGTGTCCAGTGCTCCTGTCTCTGTACCCATTGCCTCTCTCTATACCACCGAGGCATTGGACTAAACCAGTGGTCATCTTGGACCAGGGGTCAGAGAACGCTTCTTAGGGAAAGAACTTTAGTAATCGCATGACATTTGGTGGTGGCATTGGAGAGATCTAGGCATGAGGAGACTTCCTCTGCCTCATGGGACGTTACTTACTGCTGTCTCCACCTCCCCTCCTCCCTGCATTCCTCCCATCAGGCCTACCTGTAGGTGACAGCTTGCAGGGCCCGGCAGTAGCAGCTGGCCAGCCAGAGGGAGCGGTCCGTGAGGACATTGGGGCAGTGGGAGATGCGCAGAATCAGCAGGTTCCCACCGGCAGCCTTGAGTAAGGACTCCAGCCCTGCTTCTAGGCATCCCCTGGGAACAGTGACCAGTGGGAACAGGGGTCAGGAGGCCACCCAACAGTGTCCTGATACCAATTTCACTGTCTAGTCCAGCAAGCATTTACCAAGCCCCTAAGATGGGCCAGAACCAGAAAAAAAGCAGTTCCTACCCTCAACGAGCATACAGTCTATTGGAAGGAAATTAGAGGCTCATGGTTTTTGAGCTGGAGGGGACCCTAGAGGTCAGCTAGCCCGAGCACTCCTTGTTGGAGATGGGCAAACCAAGGCCCAGGGATGTGAATGAGGTGATGCGAGAAGGAGGCTGGCTCTGGATCTGGGTTCGAATTCATTCTCTGGCAGACACTGCCTATGTGACCTTGGACAGGTCACGGTTTTCTCATTTCTAATAATAATAGCTGGCATTTATGTAGCGCTCAGGTTTACAAAGCACTTTACACATATTACGTCATTTGTTCTTCCCAAAAGCCTGTCAGGTAGGTGCCACTATTATCCCCATTCTTCAGATGAAGCAACTGAGACTGAGAACTTAAGTGACTTGTTCAGGGTCGCACAGCCAGCAAGATTCGAACTCGGGTTTTCCTGACTCCCATATTCTATCTTCCCAGTAGAATGTAAAAATAGTGACACATTTTTGTCTTTGTATACTTAGCATACACTAAATGCTAAATAAATAAATAATCCTGGCACACACTAAATGCTTAATAAATGCTTTGTTGGATGTGATTAAAGATGTGGCGCTCCCCCCCCCCCCAATTTCACCGTTGCTTGATTGGCCTGGCATGTATCCGGCCTCTGTATCCTGGCCTTGCCCAGTCCCAGGGCAGAACCCTTCCCAGCCATCTCGTTCCTCAGGCCACTGCTGGATCTGCCCCCAAGCTCTCATGCTCGCCTACCTCGTGCTCCTCAGGTACTCCTCCTTGCCCTCTTTCTTTCCCCGCTGCCTGGGTTTCAGGTTCTGCAGAGTCAGTGAATGTGTCTGGGTACACCACTGGGACAGCATCGCCAGGAACTGGGAGTGGAGGAGAGTCAACTGTGAGGGTCCCAGGGCACATGCCTGGAGACACCACCAGTGCTAATGGAAAATGAAGGCAGAGGCAGCTGGCAAAATCAATCTATCCCAAAACACTGAGTAAGCACCTACTATGTGTTCAGCCCTGGGCTTATGAAGAAGTTTTCAACTCTAAGGTCTAGCAGGAGAGAGAAGCCTTTCTTTCACTCAGGAGATGGAGAACAACAGAGACAGCATGGATAAGTGTAAGAGCAGCCATGCAGACTGGGAGGATGGAGAAAGGAGAGACAAGGAAGGCTAGAACAGGTGAGGAGGTGCGGGGCCTTCAAGAATAGGTAGAAGGTTTGTTTTTCTTTTCCCAATTTTATTGATATCTTTTGTTTTTACAACATCTAGACTTCCCACTATTTCCTCTTCCCTTCTCCCTTGTATAGGGAACTATGGAAAAAGCATTTATTAGTCACCTACTATGTACTGAGAACTTTATAATCATCATCTCATTTGGTTCTCACAACAATGCTGGGAGGTAGGTGCTGTTATTACCCCCATTTTATAGAGGGAAAAACTGAGGCAGACAAGAGATTAAGTGCCTTGCCCAGAGTCACACAGCTAGTAAGCGTCTGAGATCAAATTTAAACTCAGGTCTTCCTGACCCCTGGCTCAGCGCTCTGTCTATTGTCCCATCTACCTGCAGAGATCCATCTCTTATGACAAAGAATTTTCAAAAATAAAAAAAAACCTGTTCAGTTAAACTAATAATCCATTGAAAAAGTCTGGCATCATCTGTAACATTCCCCACCCACAGTGCCCCCACTTGCAAAGAAGTGAGGGGAGCTAACTTTTCTTCTTTGGGGGCAGAGCTTGGTCATTATAATTTAACAGCATTCAGTCTCAATTGATCTGTGGTTCTTTCTTTTTTTTCAGCTTTATATAACTTTAAATTAAATTAAACAGTTTTAAATCCCCCCTCAATTACATACCAAGAAAATTTTTAGCATTCATTTTTGCAAGATTTTGAGTTCCAAATTTTTCTCTCTCCCCTTTCCTCATCTGAAAATGGTAGACAGTTTGATATAGTTTAGATATATGCTATCACGTAAAACATATTTCCATATTTGTTGCAGTTGTGGAAGAAGAAACAGATCAAAAGGAAAAAGATGTGGTTCTTCTTTCCACAACCACGTTACTGAAATCATTGTGTGTGTTGCCTTCCTAGTGCTGCTGACTTTATTCTGCATCAGTTCATACAAGTCTTCCCATATTTCTCTGTCTTCATCACAGTCATCATTTCTTGTAGGGTAATAATATTCCATTACATTCATGTATCACAGCTTATTCAGCCCTTCCTTAGTTGATGGGCATTGACTTTGTTTCCACTTCTTTGCTACTATGGAAAGCGTTGCCATAAATATTCTGATACATGTAGGTCTTTTCTTTGTATCAATGACCTCCTTGGAGTGTGCCCATGCTTAGCAGTGGAATCTCTGGGTCAAGGGAGATCAACTTTTAGTCCCTTTCTCAGTGCAATTCCAGATTGCCTTCTGGAATGACTGGATCTATTTACTGCTCCACCAACACGACAATTCCCAACTTTTGTCACCTATACCAATTTGCTGGGTGTGAGGTGAGACCTCAGAGACATTTTAATGTACATTTATTTTATTATTAGTGACTTGGAGCATTCTTTTTATTAAAAAAAATTTTTTTTGGAGCATTCTTTCATGTGGTTATCCAAAGTTTGTAATTCTTTTTAAAACTGTTTATATCCTTTGACCACTTATCTACTGGAGGATGACTTTTGGAGTTATATATTTATGTTGTTGTTCAGTCATTGCAGTCATGTTCATCTCCATAACCCCATGGGCTTTTCTTGGCAAAGATAACGGATACTTGTCATTTCCTTCTCCAGCTCACTTTATGGATGAGGGAACTGAGGCAAACAGGGTTAAGTGACTTGCTCAGGGTCACACAGCTAATAAGTGTCTGAGGCCAGATTTGAACTCATGAATCTGAGTCTTCCTGATTCCAAGCCCAGTGCTCTATCTACTGTACCCTATATCTATGTCAGTTGTCTATATAACTATATTTATGTTAGTTATCTGTATAACTTTGCTATCAGAGATATGTAACAGAAATTTTTTCCTAGTTGACTTCCCTTTTTAGTTGCATTACTTTTGTTTGTGCAAAAAATTTTCAATTTCATGTGTAATAGTGGCTTCAAGTATTTGGTTCATGTAATCTTCATGTGAACTTTGGTGCAGGCTTAAGGATTATGTTTGCTTTCTGGACCACTAACCACAAGGTGAAGAAAAAACCTTTTGATTAACTGCTGAACTGGAACTCAGAGGTAGGCCGATATCTCCCAAGAGGGCAACTCTTGGTCTCTTTCCTGCCTGATTGCAATTAAGGGAAGACATGTTTTAAGTCCCCAGGCCTTAATCTACACACCTGGATCCACATGTGGCTATGAATGTGAGCTTCTGTTTTTTGCCTCTGTGTGTTTACTTTCTCCTGTTTTTAGGTAAGGCAATATTTGAAATAATGGGCTGTGAAAGACTGGAAGAGTGAACCCCTACAAGTTGGGTGAAAGGAGTATAGGACAGAATTTGTTACCAGGTGAGGCATCAGCTGAACTTTGAGGAGCCAGAGTCAAGGCAGCTCATCCAGCAGGAATGCCAAGTTCAGAAATGAACTTGGGGCAAATGCTCATAGCAGCTACTTTAAGTAGAGCCCACTCCTCCCAAGGACTGAGGTGGCAAAGGTGATAGCATGCCCCTGTATCTGGGGGGAAATACATCCTCATAAAATATTCCTGTGGCAAAGGACTATTAAATGGTTAAATGATACTGGGTCATGAATCGATGCTGTTTAATGTTGGGGAGAACACACCAGGATTGGGGCTTGAGCTGATAACTTTACGAAAAAACCACCCCATTGCCTCTCCAGAGCTTCCTGAGAACCTGAGCGGGCAGCTGTAGCCAGCTTTTCTCTTGGGGACCCATCTCATCAGTGTGAGTGGAAATTGAGAGAAGGATCCCCAGAGTTGATAAAGCTTACATACATGTAGCTTTAATTTTTCAGAGACTTAGATATCTCATGATTCAAAGTCATGTATCATCATCAGAAGAATACTGAAATTAAAAAAGATGGTCCTTGACTTTATGGAGGAACTTAGGGTCAGTGAAAGTGCTGAACCATTATTTGGAAATTGGCAAAGGCAATTGGGTCCACCATCATCTTTTCAGTTATAAGTCCGTCTTATTGTCCTTGTACCATGTATATTCAAAATACATGTAGTAATGGTCAAGCTCCAGTTGGATTGTCCACCCAACTACATATTAGACATATATACATGGACAATAGGTATTCCTCATCCACTTAGTGTTTCCTGTGTGCATAGTCGAGACAAATTCAATCTCATGTTCTTGGAATTGATTCAATTAGGACAATTTCATCCGCAAATAGGAGCATCTAGAGGACCTCACTATCTATCTATATCTTTCTTCCATTGGGACTTTGTTGGATAATCTCCATGATGGTGGCAGGCACCTTTGGTAAGCATACCTGTGCCTCTCACAATGTTGATAATCAGAGGGTTAAACCAAGTTATCTCTGTTGTCAGATCTCTCAAGGAATCTGGTATAATATTGGCACATCCATGGGAGACACCTCATTGGAGAACCTTCAAGGGGATATTTTGTTCCACTGAATCAAGTGCTTTTGCAAAAATAGTCCAGAAGCATTGAGACACAGTGGGATGTGGTACTCTCTATGCCTTTCAGTCAATTGCATTACCATAAAAGTATGGTCTGCTGCAGGATTTTTTGGCCAAAATTGGCCTGTTTCTCAAGCCTTGCATCAAGGTTGCCTTTGATGTGTGTGAAGATTATCCTCAAGGATTTTATAGATATGGGAAACTAGGCATGGGGGTCCAAAGTTAGAGGCATTGCTTGGCTGTCTTTTTTTTGGAAATACTGTGTAAATGTTGGATATTATAGTTATCTGTGTCAGCATCTAATCCCACGACTAGACAGCCTAGCCTTGCACATAGTAGGTGCTTGATAAATGGAATAGAATGGAATCTAAACTTTCTATCTCCCTCGCTACCCCTTCAGTGCCCAGTGCATTGTTTTGTATACAGTAAGTGCTTAATAACAGTTGAACAATGAGGAACCACTGATGGGTCTTGGATGAGGGGTTACATGACTAAAGTGGTGTTAACCTGGTGGTCACGTGTCCCATGAACTAGAAGGAGATGACGCTGGTGGCAGACACCAGCTGGGAGGAGTTGGAAGGAGGGGAGAGTGGAGGGATGGAAGGGAGCAGGAGGCCAGGAGGGGTACCTTGGAGCAGACGCGGGCGTTCTCCAGCAGCACGCGGGTCCATACAGCCGGATGCCGAGCCACAAACCTCCAGTCCTTGCAGACCTCAGCAGCGTGCAAAAGGGTACGGGTGTCCAAGTAGGTGAAGATACAGAAGAGGGCCGCCCGCATCTTCAGAATCTCTGGGCTGATGACTTCGTTGGAGCGCGAGGGGCTGCCACCATCAGCCTGCCGGCCCCGCCCGCTGCCCCCCTCTGAGCGGGCTGGAGGACCTAACACAGTGTCAGCGGGGCGCACGGTGGGGAAACTGAGGCATGGGGTAGGGGAGGAGAAGGCAAGGAAGGGAGTGGTGGGGAGCTGGGCAGGAACAGGAGGGGCATGTCAGGTATTGGGGGGAGGAAGGGGCTGGGCCATGGACACCCCTGGAGAGCATGGCTAGTGTGCTGGGGAGGGGGTAGAGGGAGGAAATGCTGCTCTATATATAAACTTTAACAAGAGATAGGGGTAGGAAGAAAGGAACACAAGGGGTCAAGAACTGTTCAGCCAAATGGCTGAATTATTCACTTCCTGCTGATTCTGGAACTTAAATTACTTTGGCAGAAGTATAGGTTTTGGTCCTGACTTTCTCATTGGCCCTGGGTAAATCACTGTACCTTTCTGGGACTCAATTTCCCCCTTCTTTAAGATGGGAACAGTCATCTCACTCCCACGTGATGATGAACTGAGACAAATGCAGATGTGTGAGTTTTCCCTCCTCCCCAGGGTGGGGAAAGAGCCACAAGGGACCTCAGAGGCTGTCCAGTGCAACCCCCTTTCTTTATGGATGAGAAAGCGATTGAAGTGATTTGCTCACAGCCACATAAGCATTAAGTGTCAGAGGCGGGATATGAACTCGGGCCTCAGACTCGAGAGCCAGGAAGGGCTCTTTCCGCTGTGCCCTAGATCACAGGGAGTGAAAGGGTCACCGAGGAGCAGGAGAGGGAAAGAAACGAGGCTTTGGCCGGGGACTCCCTGTCCGTCCCCTCCCAAACCACTGCAATCAAGGGCCTGGGCACTCACCGGACAGACGGCAGCTGCTGAGGGCTCGCGGTGGCGTGGGTCCGGAGGCTGAGGCTTCGGAGGGCCCTTCGGCCTCAGACTCGGTGGTGCGGGACCCCACGTCGGAGACGTCGCCCTCTTCGCCCTCCGTGCTATGCCGGCGAGGCCTCCGCTGCCAGTTCTGGATGGCCTGACGCCGCAGGCCCGAGCTCCGAGGCACCTGCGGCCTCTCCAAGCCCCCTCCGCCCTCAGCCCGGGCCCCTGGTCCTCCAGCCCCGCTGTCCCCAACGGCCGCCTCTTCTGAGGGGTAGGGGTCCGCCGTGTCACTGTCGTAGCAGCCGGAGCTCTGGGACACGGCCTTCGCACGGCTGGAGGCCCTGGGTGGAGGCAGGAAAGGCCAGAGGAGGCAGCAGTGAGGAGAGGCTGGGCCAGGAAGCCCCAGTCAAGGGTGACCCACTATTTAAACAACCTTCCCAAATTCCCCCTCCTCCAGGGAGCCTTCCCAGATTGATCAGAGAGGAACAGACAGGTCAGTGCAGGCTCTGCTGTGATGGCTGAAGAAGGGAAAGTGGAGGGTCAACAGCTCTTCCCAGGGGAACAGCTAGGTGGGGGTAGGATGGGGAAGGGGTGCTTGAGGGTGGGTGGGGAGCTGGGATCGCAAGAGCTTACCCTGTGCTGGAGGAGGAGCGGTGATTAGACACGGCGTATGTGTTGTGCATGATGGGACCTGAGTGCCGGTCCCGCTGTGGGGAGGGGGCAGAGGGTAGAATTGGGAGGTACAGGGACAGGACACAGAGGAGAAAAGAGGGGAGTATGGTAGGGAAGGGCAAGGAGAAGAACAAGAGAGAAGACAAGATGAGGAAAAGGGAAGAGAGATGGGAGATCGAATGGGAGAAGGAGAGATAGAGGAGGAGAAGGGAGAAGGGGAGGGAGAGGAAAGGAGGAGAAGAAAAGAGAGGGGAGAAAGGAGAGAGGGAGGAGAGGGGGAGAGAGCGGAGGGAGGAGAGAGGGAGAGAGGGGAGGGAG